GAACGACCATGGTACAATAATCCATTGTTTATTGCAATAACATTCTGGTACTTTATAATTGCAAACACCCGGAGAAATGTCGGTTCAATACCACACCAATAGTTATAATAGTATACTATTTGTGTTGATGTTTGAAATAGTATTCCGATTATGAAAAATAATTTTACGTGAATTCCGGCGCCAATAATATGCGTAAAATCTCCAAATAATAAAACAATTGTTTCATTTTCTCCATTATTTATTAGGCATATTATATTTGCAATTATAAAGTACCAGAATGTTATTGCAATAAACAATGGATTATTGTACCATGGTCGTTCTGCCGGTGTCGGGGGCTTGTGTAGTGATAACCCAATTCTGTATAATAGAGTCTCTGCTGATTGTATTTGCAATACTTTAGGTAATACTTCATTGCATTTAATGCCAGACATTGTTTAAGATTATGCTTAAAGTTTGCCCAATGTAAATTAATGTAAATGCAAACACATGTAAATGTTTCAACAGTTTTAGCAATTTCTTTTCAACATAATATTGAATATAAATTAATTTTGTATTATATATAAATTATATAATATAATAAAATTTTATAAATTTATTATATGCTATACATTAATAATGTAAGTTAATGTGTTAAAATACTGTAGACAAACTTAGCTTAGCATTTACTTAGCATTTTTAAGTATAATTACTTTTTTTTGTTAATAATCAACATGGACATTATACTTAAAGTTAAAGTTATACTAAAAGTTATCTTAATGTAAGTAATGTAAATTCAAACTAAATGTAGAAGTTTTAGCAATTACTATGTTACCTTATACTTTGTTTAACAATTATATAAATAGTATGTCACATAAATAATATACTGTGTAAATAATTATCTGCATATTAAATATTAATATTAGTTTTATTACTAAATATAACAATACAGTTATAGCTATAAAACACATAATTATTTATACCATGTAATTTAGAACATTATTAATACATTATAAATTACTTACTAAATATAATATACCTTGTTACACTGTGTGTAAAAAGTAAGATGCACAAATGGTGGTTTATATTTATTTAATAATAGTCAATATAAAGTACCAAAAATGCGGCCTGGTTTTTTTAGTTCTAGCATGTTACACACGCTGTAGATATAAATGCATGCACAAGGTTGAATTTTGCACGTGTAAATGTTTTAAAGTATCTTAATTTATAATTGAAATATTGTATATATTGTTTAAATACTAATAAGATTCATTTTGTTCGGATAAAATATACGATATTATATATCTTATATAAATATTTGCATTAATTTTTAAATACATTTTATTCATATTTAATTATTATGTGTATTATTAGTTCAATAGACTAATAACAATTATTTAACAATGTCTACTAAAATAATATTAAAATAATGTATCAATATTTGTATTAAATAAAGATGTTAATTAACTTTATACAGTATATGTAAAATTTATTTTTGGGATAATATTAAGTTTTAATTAAAATTTATGTTGATAATATTTACATTAGTTTTTAATAAAAAAATTTCTAATTATTATGTTAATTTATATACACTTTACATTATTATTAAAATAATATTCATTAAATAACATTGTCATTAGATTAAATGCAAAAAGTACACATCCTCAATTAAACCAGCCTGTATCTATAATAAACTTTAAAAAGATTACCAATTTACCATCATTTATATTGTAATAAACAATAGTGACAAATTAATAGAATTTAATTAAAACAAATAAGAGTTATAATATGTTTCGATTTATTGAAATCAACAAATTACAATAGTCAATTTATATACAGCCACAACAAGTTAACATACTATAAGTTGAGATAAAGTATTACAGAAGTAATTGCTGTTAATCTATATTTTTAAAATCTATATATTTATTAAAGCATTAATTAGTAAAAATATCAACGGTAGCTTGGTGCATTACATTTAATTATGACCACAATGCATTTATGCAGAACGTGGTCTATAAAATCGTTCCGACCTTTTACATTTAAATTAAATAGCTTGACATGTATTGAATAGATTATACGATATAGTAGTTAAGGAATTAATGGATGAAGCGGTGAATATCATTAAATTGAATGGCAGTGATGTGATAATAGCAAGGTAAATCATAAACAATTTTATAACAATTGTCAGCTCTAGTAATACACCGCTATATATGCAGAAAACAATGCCATTCCCTAATATACCCCATAAGGACAGTAAGTATTTTGACCAATAAGTAGTGTTGTATTCCTCGATCTGATTGTAAATACAATCTAATGTATGAATGAAATGTTGTGTATCTCTTAAATTGTATATATTTTTGTGTATTTTATTATTTATAGAATTTAGTTTAATTTTAATATAGTAACATAATAAATAAAAGTATAAGGGTATCCATAATAAAAAGTTTAATCCATAAAATGAAACCATGGTAACAATTATTGCATTAGGGATACCATACATAAGAGCGGGTAGTAATGGCTTATTAATAATATATGAAACTAAACAAATTGGGAATGGGCATGGTGATGCCAACTTGATTATTAAATTAATAATTATAAACAATTTTTTAGATTTCTTCATAAATTGCTGTACAGATCGGGGGTCAGAGAGACCGACACTATAGGGAGTAACCATACCTGACATCAGAGCAAACACCCGGAGAAATGTCGGTTCAATACCACACCAATAGTTATAAAAGTATATTAATTGTACTGTTATTTGAAATACAATTCCGATTACGAAATATAATTTAATATGAATTCCGGCGCCAATAATATGCGTAAAATCTCCAAAAAATAAAACAATTGTTTCATTTTTTCCGTTATTTATTAAACATATTATGTTTGCGATTACAAAATACAAGAATGTTATTGCAAGCAAAATTGGCCTATGGTACCATGGTCGTTTTGTATGTGTTTTAGGTTTAAACAGTGATAACCCTATTCTATACAATAGAGTCTCTGCTGATTGTATTTGCAATTCTTTAGGCAATACTTCATTACATTTAATGTCAGACATTGTTGACTAATATTTGATCTTAAAGTTGGTCTAACTTAATATTACAATATGTGATGTGTTTTACATTAAAATAGTCAGGAATATATGGTGTTTTTATATAGTTTTGCATTATATTCTTACTTAATATTGCTTATTGTGTAATGAGTAATTTATTTTAATAGTTATTATAGAATTTAAATTAAGAATAACGTAGCAAACAATATAATAACAATTATATTATTACTGTATGTTAATGACTTGTTGCTCACAATGTGTATAACATGTAAAAACAATCAAATTAATATTATCATTTATTAATAATATAATCATTATTCAATTAAATTTAATTATTATACATTAATAATGCAGTAATAACGGTACATTACTATTGCATTTATAGCTAAAGCACTTATACTTTACAATTACTTGTCTGATCAATTTTGTCTTACTTACCTTAGATAATATACTGTGAATTTAATTATTAATTGTAAGAAATAGACCTTTTGGTATTTATCATTTATCTTTTTGTTAAAGGATTATTTTATTAAATTCTATATACAGTTTAAAAAGTGGCAATAATTACACATGTAATATAATTTACCTAGTAAATGATTTGCAACCTAAATAATTAAAATTTACAGAATATCCAAAAATAAATAAACTAAATGTTCATATATAATAGTATTTATAAAAATTTTTAAATAATAAATTGTAAGATTAAAATCAAATGTAATGCAATAATAAATTTATTTTTAGTACGTTTTTGGTAATAACAATAATAATAATCATTTATTTAGCGAGGGTTGATTAACAATATAATTTATCACAATCAGTATCTATGGAACTAGGTAGATTATTTCAACTTTGACAAAAGCCAATCGCGACCAATGAACACATTGGCGTAACCACTTGGATAGGAAACCGTATTGGACGGGCAATCAGTAATCACCCATGATACTATGCCAGCCAGTTTACCACCAACAATTAACGGACCACCAGAATCACCCTATTATATTTCAATAATTAGTAAACTAATTAAACAAAAATACGCTTCAAATTTTGCTAAAAAAATAAATCAGCTAGGCACATTAAAAAACACTATTGCACATACATTGCACGTAGATGATGTCTGGTGTTTGGCACAGATCATTTGTCGGCTAATATCGATGTTGGGATAGGGAGCGTACGCTTTGACACATGAGTCATAGGAAACTATCTGAAACTTTTGGTACTGTAGCTCTTTGGCGCCCGAGTTTTTATCGGTGCCAACCAAACGGCCCCAACCGGTGGCGTGCGCTTCGGCCCCGTCGGCCGGCTCCGTGTCTACCAGTTGTATGGTCTCGACTTTGCCGGGAGTAGTCTGTATGTTGTCGGCCAATACGATCACAGCGTAATCGTAGTCAATCCTAATCGGTTTGTCGTACGACTCGTGTTGTCTGATTTCGGCCACTTCCGATTTGATGGGTAGAGTGTCCACATTCAGGCCGCCGTATTTGATCACCAAATCGGTGTTCTTATAACTGTTTTAATTGAAATAATTAAATTAATTACACATTACAAGAATTACCTGTAACTTATTAACTATCCTAAATGTTACACACCGTATGATCTATGTATAAACTATTTAATATTAGACATTTCTGTATAGCATTAATTATGGCTAATTTAATAATGGTAACACAATAAAATTATTTGTAATTATTATTTAAAACTAGATCACTTTACCCGTTAGTACAGTGAGCGGCGGTGATAACAAACTTCGTGCCATACAGCGAACAGCCGCAGTTGTGGGCCTCACCGAACCAGCCCCTAACGTGTACAGAGCACTGGTATTTACCCTGTTCTTGAGTGGCCTTCACACCACCCACAATACGCCCGCCAACAGCCCTGGCGACCTCGATGCTCAGCGGGTGACCAATGGTAGCGCACCGATAAGTGTCCGTTAGACATAGCACCAGTAGTGCGGCTAAAATAGTTTTACTATACATGTTGTTTGTATATTAGTTTAAACTGTTTTGATCTATGTGTTTAATTAATAATATTATCCCGTATTTATACTAAATTAGCCTGTAGATTTTTAGCAATTTTTTTAATGAATTTATTAGTTTATGTTAGTTATCAGATATCCTGTTTGGGACTTTTCTTAAATATCAGAATCATACAGGCCTATTTTTATTGTATCAATTAATTAAAGTTACTTATGATATTGAAATTGCCGCAATATTTAGCGTGACCAGCTGTTACTATGATTCTCACAAGTTAATAAAATACTAAATTTAAAATTATTTAAATTATTTATTTATTTTTAATTGATTAACATTTAGTTAAACTTAGTATTTTATTAGTTAAGTATTTTAACACATTCTACAAAATTCAAGTTGAACTTTTTAATTAAAATTTTTATAAATAAATTCTATTATTATATTTATAAATAAAGCTGGTCATTCTAGTTTACAATTTGATTTATTTGATTCCTACTAACGTACCTCAATATGTGTAATATAGACAGACAAATAAGTGCAACAATTATCACACCATTAAGGACAATTTTTATAATAGTAATTTAGAGCCTAAATTTTAGACTACTTTTAAATTTTAATAAGTATAATCGTTATAATTAGTTTAAACTTTATATTTTATATAACCTTTCTAGGATGTTGTTTATTATGTTTGCAATATGAACAAGTATTTAAATATTTTGCTTTCTAAAATTCTAAAAGACCATCTAGTGTCAGAATAATTAATTGTTAAAGTTGAGTACTTTTACAATGTTTATTTTTCAAACAACTCTTTTGTTAATAGACTGATTTTAATTATTATTAAATTTTATGGTAAATATGCTACAGTAAACAAATTATTTACTTGTACATTGTAAACATTGTAACATTGACTTGCCTAGCATGTAAGTTGCAATAATAATATAGAAATCTAAACAAGATGATAATTTTTATCAATTAATCTATAGTACTATAGTAATTTAACCACAAAACTTTCTATGTAACTCTATTTAAACTAAACTATGTAATTAAATAATTTATTGTAATTGTAAATAAATATCAAAATAAATGATTTGTTAGTTTTAAATATAATAAAGAGAATGACTAATCTGTCCGAGGCAAGTGCCTTGCTAGAAAGTGCCTCGCTAGGCATTTTCAACTAATTTGCAAATATTAAAATTTTTAAATATACACATTTATTTGATTTTGTAATAATACATTTATATTTGTATTAAAAAAATTTTAATCTATATTTTTAATTTAA